ATTTTAACCAGACAGTTTATAGTGGATGAAGTTAATAATATTTATCTTTGTGTGCAGATTTTTAATATCAGCAGAATATTAATCAGTGATTCACCTGCTGCAGAAACAATCACACATTCCCTGTGAGGCTGATCTGAGGTCACAGGTCAGTCAGAAATCAGAACACAATCTGTTGAAGCTGTGAGGTGTATTTGGACGTTGGTTACAGTAAAAGTCAGAATCAGTATGTTTGTTGATAACAGTTTAGATGATTGATTGATATTGAGAAACTGAACTAAAATAATATCTCAATATTTCAGGGTATTTCTGCGATAATGATATTCTTGACAATATGACAAATTAGTAAAAAATATATATTTTTATGTGATGTAGTTTTACAGTTTACCTTCAAATATTCAGTAAAAACTAAACAAAAATTATCTCTCATTTCTTTAGTTTGTGAACAGCAACAGTAACTCAGAGTTAGATTCAGATTCTGTTACAATATTAATAGTTTAACTAAATAAAATCTATCCCTGGGATCTATATATATAAATCAACAGCTGATTTCCTTTTCTTTTTTTATGCTCTTCCATTTCTCCTCTAATCATCAGGCTGTAACCTGTGACAGGCTGTTATGAGACCAGAGCGGCACGCATCACATCACCTTATTCATCCCTACAGCAGGAAATACTTTTTCCCTAACCTGATATGAAGTGTGCGCTGCACATGTGAGCATTTTTGATGATGGCCTCCGTCCAGTCCTTTGGTCTTATCACATTTAACCATAGTTGTCTTTGTTTTTGTTGATGGGCAGTGGCGGCTGGTTTTGAGCCATGACTCCTTCTATTCTGGCTCCCAATAACACAACAAGACAAACACATTTTAACACTCCTATGGAGCCTACAGCCCTGTGGGGGAGAGGCAGCTGCACCTCCAGATGAGAACATGATGTCATTGTGATGTCAGCTCTAAAAGGGTCTATTTGAACACTAAATGTTGCTACTTCATATTAACTTTGAATTTTTGATTTAACAGGCTAATTGAACTGGTTGTTTGATAAATACATTTCAGATTTCATCAGTTCGTAGTTTCGTTAGCCAATTCACATCCCTTTTCTTACATTAGGTGTTTATTGGAAGTGCTAGAGTACTCTACTAAGTTAGTGCCAGTACTTGAATATGGAAGTTGCTTGAAATGCCCCTCCCTAACACGGCCTTCATAAAGGACATCAACGTATCTGAGCAAACAGGTTCACCTGCAGACTGCAGAGGGAAGAGTCCAGGTTCAGACACGCATTAAAATAAAGCAGCCTGTAGGAGTTTCCAACATATTAGCTGCTGCAGAGGAAACAAGTTCAGGAAGTGTCTCCTGATGTCTTCACTGTGGAGACCATACAGACCAAAATTACAGCTGCCAGAGAAAATCATCAGGAGACAGGACAGAGACAGAGAGAGGGACTGATCACAAACGTTCTGCTTTAACGTGGTTATTTCATGTTTCAAAGACGTCCTGGACGAAGAGCGCTCTTCTTCTTCACATGATATCATTAATATCTCAGAGACACTTTACCTGCAGGACGAGAAAGAAAACAGCTGATTATCAGGGTGCTCTTATACGGTAATCTGTGTGTGTGTGTGTGTGTGTGTGTGTGTGTGTGTGTGTGTGTGTGTGTGTCCTCGTGGGACAGATCAGTACAACAATACTCCTCTGTACGCAGCTAACAAAGACCTCCACAGACTCCTCCTCCTGCTCCTCCTCTTTTTCTGTTTTCCTCCTACATGAGCCCCTCTCCCACTCTCTCCCTATCTCCCATCTCCCTCCTCCTCCTCCTCCTCCTCCTCCTCCTCCCTGCCGCAGGCATCTCTTCAGTCCTCTGATGTTCCTAATGAGACCTCAGGAGGATCGAAGTGATGACATCACCGCCTGTAAATGATGTTACTGTTTTTAATGGTGATGTCATCCTGGGTGGTGTGGTGGTAAAAACGATTTCATCATCACTGACTCAGCAAGGGGCCAGTGGCTGTGCGTGAATAGTCAAATGAAACACTTACTAAACACTTTCCCCTGACCTTGATGGAAAACAGGAGGTGATGGAAAGATGTGATGGAGGATTTATAAAGACTTCAGAGAGGACAAGCAGGATATTAAGAGAGTCAGACTGCACTCAATCTAAACTCCGTCATTATGAGACAGCAAATGTAATTGTCCTGGGTCTGCCATGGTGAAACTGTGATGTACTAAAAGCTCATCCTGGATACTGCACCCTGTGCTCTCTCATCATGCTGTTTGGTGCAGGCTGTATAAACCTAATTACCAATGTTGGGGTGAAATAAAAAACGAAACAGGCAGCCGGTCACAAAGGTGAAACAAAATGGTCGCTCACATTTGCCCTCCTGTCCGCTCATATTTATTCACATAAATCCTAATTAGCATGATTGTATGGAAATAATGTGATGTTAAATTTATGCAAGATAGCATATTGTTTGTTTCCATGAACAGCTGAATGTTGTGTCGCTTTAAAGGAATTGTGGGATGGCATTATCTCCTTTCTGTTGGTAAAGGATGGTCGAGTTTATCCTTTGCTAAAGGAGATAAGAAAGGAAGCACTGAAGCACCTTTGATTCTCATTTAGAGAATTCAAACAGCTCTTATCATGGCTGCCACTTAGATACCTCTATTATACTCAGGTAGGAACTTAACTAAAAGAAAAAGCACTATTCCACTGCAGCCCAGGACCTTTCTCTTCAACAGTCCACCAACCATAGGGTTGTGGTGGCTGCTATCTAGTTGCATTATGGGAAATGTAGTCAGGAGATCTCCCTCTGCTGCTGGGAGAGACTACAGCCCTGTTTCCTCCAAACCCTTTCAGTCCAGTCCCTTTGGAACCAGCAGTAAGCCTTCAGACATGGTACCTAGACCCTCGGTGTGTTCAGACAGTCCTCTTAAATGTGGGCAGGGTTGTTGTCACTCACTGCTCCGTCCAGCACTCGCTGTATTTCCTCATCAGCGGTGACACAGATGGAAGTCTGCACCTGGTTTATCGTCCACAGAACGAGGCTGCACGCCCACATTTTCACAACAAAATAGAACAGGCTGCAGTGAGAGTCTCTCTCCATGGGATATTTAAAAATAGCAGCTTTGTGCATTTAGTCCTTCTCAGGCAAGCTCAGGGGTTTAGTGTTGCTGTAGCCCACAGGAAGTGAGGATTAGAATATATGACCTTCACATAATCCGCTCCAAATTAATCTATATTTTTAAAGTCATTACTAAAAGTGTGTGTCATATAAAAACTAAAGTGATGGTCAAAGTTGTCACAGTGAAATTTAAGGTGTGCTGATGGATTCACGTCATCAACTCATGCATTGAGTAACATTACAAGTTAACGTTCCACCTTAAAAGTTGCCGGCAGTCGGCCCAGTGAATGAAGTTATTTTTTTCTCTTTCATTTTATAGTTGTAGTTTACTGATGTATGAACAGAGGTTACATAAAACCAGAGTGAGCGTCCTCTACTGACCAATCAGACTGCAGGGTTTCTAGCTCCACCTTTTAGTACCAGATCTGTGTGCTAGGTACCCCAACAGAGGGGGGACCAAACATGGGGACGCTAAGGAACGCTTCTGTTGGGACCATCCACAACTTTTACTGTAGGAACAGAGAAAAAATGTGACTGAACTGAATCATTAAACGGTGTTGTTAAAGTGAGAGCCATCGGCAGGGTTGGAAATGAACCTTTTTTGTCAACCTGCCACAGTGACTGTTGGATTCCAAAATCTAGCTGCCACTCAGTAGATTACTGTTGTGTTTTTGGCTGGTGACTGAAACAAATCTAGTAGTCAACTGCTGGTGTTAATTTCACACCCTGGCTATCGTCCATGACATCAACAGCAGTAAAGGCGCATATCAAAAACCTACTGCAACATTATATTAAAGGGACATTATGTAACATTTTCAGTTGTTTATTGGCAAAAATTGATGTCTGTATTCATAAATATGTCATCACTGGTGTACTATTACCTCCACCAATAATCTGACTTATTCTCGTAAAAGGAGAATTTCGGATTTGTTTGTACATTGTGCGGGTAAGTCGTCTGTGGGGTTCCATTACGTTTCGCCATCTTGAGAATACACCCGCCAGCAAGGGACATACAGCACCGCCTTCGGCGTTTTCGTTGAGAGCCAGGCCAGCACTGCGTGACTGAGGAGCCGAAGGAGAGGAGCAAGAGGCGCTTCACTACTACCCTGGCAAATTTGAAACAAAGTCCCACTCTTTGAGCATAATGCAGGATCATGCATATGCAGCATCATGGGAGACGGAATCCTTGTCGCCAAGAAAGTGCAAAAGGGAATAGAAAAGGCAGCGTGACCGGGGAATTAAAAAAACAAAGGCCCACATCGGGGTAGCCTTTCCCAGGTAGAGAGAGCTGCTGAGGGAGAATGGTAATGCAATCACAGGGGGTTTGTCAACTCGCGTCACGTGTGTCTGTGTAGGAGCCTGAATGAATACTCCATGTAGTATCGGATGACATGGTTTCATCAACGTTATCATAGCTTTTTGGTACACAGCGGCTACAGTTGTTGCAATACTTGTTTGAAATAGTGAGGCGCTAGAGTGCGCCATCTGTTTGAATGCAATATATGATTTCAACGTTAGATGGGAGAAATTCCTACGCACTGTGGCTTTAACAACTACTGTTCATAACTAGTATGTGATAATTATCTAATAGTGGTGAATATTACAGAGTTATCTTAAATCACAACACATCAATCTGCTCCTTTAATTATGGCTGTGACAGTTTGGTCCATAACATGTGAGACATTAAAGTATCTGAATTATTATTATGACATAATTTCTTAATATTTTCATCATTAAAAAAACTGAAGTTCATTTTTAACATTTTTGCCTAAAAAAACATTTCAAAAGATCAGCTGATCTGAACTGTTTAATTATTAATCAATGAACTGAGCAGTGGTTTGGTGTCTAACATGTCCCCTCTGTGTCTCTGTGTGTCTGTCTCAGCCATGTCTCCGGTCCTGGCGGGCTTCCTGGGAGCTGGTGTTCTGGTTTTGGTCGTGGTTGTTCTGGTTCTGCTCTGGTCTTTCTGTCAGCGCCGTTACCTGCGCGTCTCTGGACGCTACAAACTGCATGGCGACCGTTACTGCGATGCCGAAGACCCCCCCTACAAGTTCATCCACATGTTGAAGGGCATCAGCATTTACCCAGAATCCCTCAGCAGCAGCAAGAGGATTGTACGAGGCATCCGGCGCGTGGACCGCTCTGACCGTGACGGAGAGCGAAGCTGTCCCACCAGTGCCGGCACTGGGAGGGGCATGGTGCTGGTGGATGCAGAGAACAACATCCTTGACGTCCCAGGGCAGCTGCAGATGAGTCACCTAGTGCCGCCCGCCCACGGCCAGGCCCGAGTGGAGCGGGCGCTGCCGGTCCGTGCCGACTACTGCTGCCTGGACAGCAGCTCGGCCAGCAGCAGCCAGACCAGCAGCAAGACAGCCTCCCCCTTCACACCCGCCTCCTCGGATCCTGAGCCCGAGCCCAGCCTGGGCACAATCAGCCTCACCGTCGACTACAACTTCCCCAAGAAGGCCCTCGTGGTGACCATCGTCGGGGCCCGGGGCCTCCCCGCCATGGATGAGCAGGCGGGCAGCTCAGACCCCTACGTGAAGATGACCATCCTGCCAGAGAAGAAGCACCGCGTCAAGACCCGCGTGCTGAGGAAGACCCTGGACCCGCTGTTCGACGAGACCTTCACGTTCTATGGCGTGGCCTACAGCTCACTGCCTGAGCTCACGCTGCACTTCCTGGTCCTCAGCTTCGACCGCTTTGCCCGTGATGATGTCATCGGGGAGGCCGTGGTGCCGCTGAAGGGCGTGGACCCGAGCACGGGCCGAGTCCACCTGAGCCAGCAGATCACCAAGAGGAACATGCAGGTGAGTGACGGCGGTCAGCACGTGGAGAAGGTTAGCTACATCCTTAAAGGGACAGTTCACCTTTAAATCATAAATACATATTTTCCTCTCACCTGTAGAGTTTAATGTTTATCAGTCCGGAGTGTTCTGGTGTGAGCTGCCGAGTGTTGGAGAATTCAGCCATAGAGATGTCTTCATTCGGCTCCAGTATAACAGAACTAGATGACACTGGATCAGACTCGGCTTGTGGTGCTCACCCTGTCAGGGATGGGGATCGTTAAGATTTCAATGATACAACTACTCTTACCGACACTGCTCATCAATCCGGTACTTTAATGGTAATGCTAATCGTTTCTTGAGGGGTTTTTTAAGAGAGAACACTGAAACAAAAAAAGAACAGAATTAACACTGCTTTACTTTCTATGTATGTAAGTACAGTATATAAATTAACATTCTGCTACAGCATTGTTTTGAATTCAATTTCAATTTTCAATGTTCTTTATAAAGCCCAACATCACAAATCACAGTTTGCCTCAGAGGCTTTACAGCAGACAGCCCTCTGTCCGCTGACCCTCACAGTGGATCAGGAATAAACTCCCTAAAATCCCTAACAGGTAAAGAATGGTAGAAACCCCAGGATCCTGAATGAAGTACTGTCATGGACTCTAACATACCTGAGGTTGGTGAGGTAACAGGAGATGAACTACAAGCTAGGTGGTCGAACACGGTGTATTACTCCGCCTGTATGTGATGAACTTTGAGTAGATGTTACCAAAAATTGCTCGTGTCTCTGCCCTCACATGCACAGGTGTTGTTGAAGCAGTGTCAGCATCAACTCTTGTAAAGTATAACCATACTTCAGAGCACTTTGCTCTCGCCGCCATCGTCACTGAGAGCAGGACCACTTTGTGTGTGTGTGTGTGTGTGTGTGTGTGTGACACAAAGTGTCAGAGCTGGCCCCGCCCCTCACACATGCAGCAGACTGCGACACAGGCAGCTCTCCTCTGGGTTGAATAGTAAAAATGCATCAGTGACAAATGTCTTAATCTTATCAAATTACAGATGGACTTGGTGAGATAAAAACTGTACAAGATCACGTTTATGTAACCTAAATAGACAAGAAAAATATCCTCTGAATTTCTCCAATACCGACAGCAGAACGCTAACGTCGGAGCTTATCAATACTACAGTCTTTAATAATTTGGGGTTTCGGTACCCATCCCTAGTCTCGTTCCAGAAATCATGACCCGGTTGCTCAAGATAATCCACAGACCAAAACAGTCAAACATGTATATTGATTAGTGGGTGAACTGTCCCTTTAAAGTATTATTCTGTAGTTATATTTTGTAGTTCTGTGTTTAATTTCTATCAGATGGAGTTACACTTTGTCCAGTTTCAGTAATGATCCATAAGTGTTGTTGTCCAGCCGGAGACATGTTAATCAGTTAATCAATAATTTGTTCATGTGAATGTTGCTTTGAACAGAAGCATCTGACTAATGAGTAAAGTCAATATCTAATGGAGAAAACAGTCTTACAGATTATTTCTGAGGTTCAATATGAACCTGCAGCCAACAGTTATCATTATTATTATTATTGATGATCATCTAACAACATGTATTGATTCTTTTCAGTGGATCTGTTGTTTAATGTTCAAACTAAAGCTAAAGAAGTCTGTCTTTATTTCTCAGAGATGTTTTTTAGTCTCACCAATGTCTCAAAATTCTGTAAAGACGTTAAAGTGGTAAATTCCCAGAGGAAGCTCAAACTGGTGATCGTGTTCAACCTGAGAAAAAAAACAAAAATGTGATTCATTCCATTGTGACTTCACTTAATGTGAAAACACTCCTCTGTGTGTCTGTGTGTTGTTGTTATTGTTGTCCCGACTCTGACTAAGTGATGGTGCCGTCAGCAGCTGTGTGTCACCATGGCAACAGGCTGGTCTGACCTCAGAGCGGTGGCTATAATCCACTGACAGTCTGTCTGAGTGACAGTCCCGCTGCTGTTGTGTGTTTATCAGGTTAAAGTCATGAACATACCGATGAATAAAATAAGCTGCAGTCTCACTCTGAAAGGTGCTGATCAGCTGTTGTTGTGCTGACGTCGTCTGTGAGGGTTTAAAATGTAAAATAAAAAACACAGAAACAAACTCAGACTCAGAAGTAAGGTTTTAAAATGCAGGACTTTAATTTGTATTTTCACAGTGTAGACTTACTGCAGTAAAGTGTCTGAAAGTTGCTCTGCAGAGACAGACTGAATGTGTTTGTGTTTTCAGTGTGAGAGTCGTGGAGAGCTGCTGGCGTCTCTGTCCTACCAGCCGGTGTCTCATCGTCTCAGCGTGGTCGTCCTGAAGGCTCGACACCTCCCCAAGATGGACATCACCGGCCTGTCAGCAAGTGAGTCGCCCTCTGCTGGGTTTATCTTGTTTAAAGTTTACAGCGTTTCTTCCTCCTTTTTCTTTGGTTGACACTTTTCCTGTCTTCACATTTAACTTTATTGTTAAATAAACACAGACTGCAAACATAAAACATAAAACAAATGATAAAATATGTTTCTGTCAGTCAGAAGAACACTGAGACTGTGTATGTTCATATTTTGAAGGAATTTAAATGATAGTTTGTAAACAAAATGTGTTTAAATGAAACACTGCATTATGAATATTATGAATATACTTCCACTGATTATTTAGTGGACAGTTGTGATGATTTATGGTCTAAAATCCAATCCAAAAAGTAAAAATGCCAAAATAAAATGTCCACAAAGTGAGCAGTTCAGCCCACCTGGGCTGACGTGGACTCACCTGTTCTCTGTTCCTTCCTCATTGGACTACAGTCGACCCTACCTGAGTGACGTACCTCAGGTCATAACCACTTCTTACTGTAAAACTACAACTTTATTTTCTGTAATGCCATATGTTTTTCTTCTTAAAGTACTTTAATTTCATTCCAAAAGTCAGAATATTTTAAGAGTTTAATTGAAATTCAAAAATGATGGTGTTGAGCGAGCTAGCTTGCTAAGTTAGCTAGCTCAACCCACATGGACTCACTTGTTCTTTGTCCCCTCCTTGTTGGCTGATGGTGGAAATTCAGAAATGCGCAAGTTGAAATTCGAAATTCGCAATGCGCAAGTTGAAATCGCAGCGACGAACGCAACACAGAGAAATGAACCCACACACACACACTCATCACACACACCTGAGTGACATACCTCAGGCAGGACTTGAACTCCAGTTTCCAGGTTGCTTGTCCAGATCCTTCCCACTGGACCAGGTGAACACAAAGGACCAGAGAGTTGAAGAAGAAACTTCACCTTCATCAGCATGAATTAAATCAGATATAAGACGACATGATGCGGCCTCCTTCAGCTGAACGACATGTTCACTTGGAAACTTTCCACACTTGTTTTTTGGACCTTCAAAAAAAATTTCTGGATTGTAGTTTAAACCATTTCCATCTCTCCTGTTGAGTGTTTTAATGGATTATATGTGAGGTTTAATGGAGACAAAAAGTCTCTTAGATGGACCTTAATTGTTCAGTAACATTAAGGGCTTCACCCCAAAGTTGTTTTCATGGATAAAAGTCTAATTCTTCTCTGTGAGACTGTGAGATCATTCTTACCACCCTGGACAGCTCAGCTGGTAGAGAAATAATCTTACAGTGTGAAGGTTGTGGGTTCAAATCCCGCCCTGAACTTTTTTTAATTTCTTTTGTTCCTTCTGTGGACCCTCAGACTGTTCCTGGTTCAGATTGTCAGGTTCATTCATAACAGGCTTTTTACAATAAGTAACACCTTAATGAAACAGTCCGGGGCCAACTGATGATGATGATGACAGCGCTGCGTATGGTAGATGGGCTGGCTTGAAAACACCCACATGTTATGGATTCACAATGTGTAGAAAGTTAAGATTTATAATCCAGGTATTGGACTTATATGCTAATTTATTAACTGTTTGGCACTGAGTTGGTGTGATGAAGATCATTTTATCAGGGAATAACTGGTAGATGATTTGCTCTCATCTGTAATATTATGTGACTTCATTTCTTTTTACTTGTAGGGCCAGTTTAACACCTCAGTAAATTTCAGGACCTTGTTATCAGCCCCAGTTTTATCTTCACACAGCTCAGGTGCAAAACACTGAGGAGATGAACCGAAGCTGTAAAAACATTTATCAGACCTCTATATTCGTCTGATTCAAAGAGAACTACAACTAATTGGTCTAATTGGACGATTCACTACTCTATTGAAGGTTAGGACCTCCACACAGTGTTTGCATCAGTCCCATGATTGAACCACTAGATGGAGACATACACTATGTGTTCACACTGAGGGCTGAGAGGAAGACCTGCTGCAGTTCGTCCTCCATGTTATGCTAATGAATAAAGATGGCTGGAATCAGGCCTGGGCACTGTGACAAGATTATTGTTAAAACCATATTGGTAAGCTGCAATAATGGTCGTCACGGCAACAGTTTTTAATTAAAACCATTGAACAGGAAAAACAGGATCAGCTCACATAAATAAATAAACATTTTTGAGGGTTTAAAAAAAACTTAGAGGGAAAAACCAAGTTTTCTAACATGTAGTTCATCTGAGAGGAGATGACATCATATTTTGACACAAGTACAACAAGAGATAACATCAAAATTCAGGGCTTCAGTTTTCAGTTGTGTTCATGACTAAAAAGTCTTCTGTATGACACTGAGTTTGTTTCTCAGCATCCAGACAGCTCACTTTATAAAGACAGAGTGTCTTCGTCTGATGGTTGTGGGTTCAAATCCCATCTGGTCTGTTTTGGTTCAGTTTGACAGACACATTCCCGACAGCTTTTCACAATATGAGACACCTTCATGAAACAGTCCTGACAGACAGAAAACAGCACCTTAATCCATTTACAGTTAACATGTTAAGGTGCAGAAAATTGAAATCAACATTACAGGTAACAACACCTTAATCTGTATGTCAAAGGGCAAAACTTAAAATTGTGCCAGGCAGGATTTGAACCCACAACCTTCAACCTATAAAGCTCTTTCTCTACCAGCTGAGCTGTCTGGACTTTGAGAGAGGTGGAGATGAATTGAATATCCCGAAATAATAGCTTTTGTATCCCTGAACACACCTTTGGGGTGAAGCCCTGAATTTGATTTCAAAATTATGTTCCTATGAAGGATTGTTGTCCCTTAAAAAAAATCCTTAAACCACGCAGATAATCCAATAAAACCTTCGGCAGGAAAGACAGGATTAACTCTAATGTAGGACAGAAACCAGAAACTTTTTGAAGGTTAAAACATCCAACTCGAGAAGATAATCAAGTTCAGCTGAAGGAGACCGCATCATGCTGTCGTACATCTGACATAATTCATGCTGATGAAGGTGAAGTTTGTTCTTCATCTCTCTGGTCCTTTGTGTTCACCTGCCTGGAGGATGGTCCAGTGGGAAGGATCTGGACTGGCAACCTGGAAGCTGGAGTTCAAGTCCTGCCTGAGGTATGTCACTCAGGTGTGTGTGATGAGTGTGTGGGTTCATTTCTCTGCGTTGCGTTCGTCGATGCGATTTCAACTAGCACATTTCCAAATTTCCGCCAACAAGGAGGGACAAAGGAACAGGTGGTTCAGCAGACCTTTTGGATGTCAATTAATCTCTTAAAATATTCTGAGATGTCTGTGAAGTTTAGATATTGTAGTTTTTGAAGATTTCATAAAACCTTTCCTGCAGGAGATAACCAAGTGCAGAAGGTTTCTGACATGTTATTCAGCCCAGAGGAGACTGCTTCATTTTATATGAGACTTTGTTCAAGTTCATTGTCTTCATTGTGCTCAGTGACACTCTGACAACAACAAAAAGAGACATTAGCCACGACAAACAATAAACAAGCAACAATGTGCAGTTTATATTGATGCATCAACTGTTGAGCAACTTCACTGCCTGAGCAAAGAGGTCTGTCACTGATTTGATACTGCGGTAATGTTTTTTTTTTTTTTGAGGGAAGGAGTGAGAACAGAGTGTAAGAAGGATAGTTGGTGTCCTTGATGATGTTTTGGTTTGTTGTTTTTTTTTGCAGCGTGTGGTGTCAGTGTCATGAAGTTGTAGTTCTGTGCCAATAATAGCCCTGATTTTGTTGCCAAACCACACAGTCACACAGCCCGTCAGAACAATCTCAGTGATGCAGTCACCAGAGTTCACTGGAGTTTTGGTGCTCATACATTTTAAAATGCCTCAAAGTGCAGTGTTCATCTCCTTGTAACTGCCTGTTCAAAGCAAAATGCAGCACCGTTATTCTGCCTCACCATTATGTATGAAAGGTACAGTTGCTAAATGTGGCCACAGAGTTGTCTCGCCTTTAAGCCGACAGCGAATGTACAAATAGCACTGAATCAACGTCTGTGTAAAAGGGACAGCTGGCAGGACGGGACAGTGTGACGTTTTGACAGCTTATGTCACAAAAGCACTGCAGACACGTATGTTATATGTCACGCTAGAGGCCGATGCTGTTGTGTTACATGTCGTGCCTGTCACACCTTTCTTGTTTTCCATGATGTCATCATGCTGTTAAAATCACACGGGAGCGACATGATGCCGCCGACATTTGGTTCTGTGTAAAAATGTAAAGGCAGCACAACAACAGGACTCTGTAGCAGCTCTATAGCGCCATCTGTGAGATAAAAAAAAAAACTTCTGTTGGGCTTTGTGGAGGACGCATATCGTGATATATATATTGATGTCCAAAAAAAACCAAAAACCTTTAATTTATTTTTTATTTTGACACAAGACTTTCAGCCTTAAAACTTGCCTCTGTCTGCCTCTGAAGCTGGGAGAGATAATTCTTTTCATACATGAAAGTTTACTGAAGATCTTGTTGGTTGGATTAAACATATTTATTTATTTATTTATTTATTTTGCACACACGTAAAACTGCATAAAATCCAATAAGAAATGAGTCCGGAGACACAGGATGATACAAACGGATCTCCCCTCATCATAAGGAGAAAAACAGACAATTATAAAACAAGTAGGAAATGTGGACAAAAGAACTTAATTAACATTATACAGAAAAATACAACAAAAGATAAATGACAACAGGAAGTACACTGAGCTGTCAGTGAAAAATCATCCAATTAAAACCAAGAAATACACATAACACAGTGCAGAGGAAAAAAGGGAAAAATATATTTACATTAATGCTTTGGGACATTTTATTGGCAAAACAATGAATGGATTTGATTAAAACAATAATCAGATCAGTGTCGTCATGGTTTGTTGATTTTTTGCAGTTTTATTGAAGTGTAGTTTGTAAAGTTGGTTTTGAGAAGTTCCTCATAAATCAGTGTTGTTGTTTTGTTGTTTCCTCCTCAGATCCGTACGTGAAGGTGAACATCTTCTACGGACGTAAGCGCATCGCCAAGAAGAAGACCCACGTGAAGAAGTGCACCCTGAACCCGGTCTTCAACGAGTCCTTCATCTACGACATCCCACCCGAGCTCCTGCCCGAGATCTCCGTGGAGTTCCTGGTGGTCGACTTCGACCGGACCACCAAGAACGAGGTGCTGGGCCGCCTGCTGCTCGGCCTCCACAGCCCCGCCCCCTCCGGAGCCTCCCACTGGAGGGAGGTCTGCGAAAACCCCCGCCGGCAGATCTCCAAATGGCACAACCTGAGCGAGTACTGAGGGAGGACCGCCAGAAACCAGCTGACTCCACCCACCGGCTGGGACTCCACCAGTGGACCCCACTGGGAAATAAAAACTCAGTGTACAGCACACACACACACACACACACATATATATACAACACATACAACACACCCACACACACACACACACACGCACAACACACACACACTGTTGTGATCATAGTTAAACACTCTCTCTGTCTCTACTCTTTCTCTTTCTTCCACCACGACATTCGCAGTCTGATAAAAATCCTGCAGTTCTTTAAAGAAAAGAAGATGAGCTGTTTTTAAAAGAGAAACCATGAGTCCATTTCTCAGACTGTCCTCATGTCTCCTGGCTGTCCATGTGTGTAGACGGGGGGAAGGAATGCTCACATATCATTTAAAAAATAAGAAAAAAAGATTCCCCTCTTGCTGTTGTTGTCATGCAGTTCATCGCATGTCTGTCCCAAGAAAAAAAAACAAAGCAAATGAAGAGCTGCTGACTGATCGACAGGAAGACGGTTTAAATATTCACTAACACTGCATTTAACTAATATATCCAATATAAATACTCCTCATTAGGACCAAATAAGAAACTGCTACAAAGCTCCCACGTCTCGCTCCTGATACTCGACCACATGATCCAATATTTGACATGTTTCTGGGGGTTAACGGAGGTTTTAGTCGGCAGCATGCTCCCTGCCTCTCAACGATCATCTTCACTCATCGGTCCCGCAGACTGATCCCCGATCCTGGAGGAGGCGGAGTCTCTGTCATCGCCCTCATCTTAATGTGGATTTACAAACTGTGGTTAACATCAGACGCTGATGAATCAAGCAGACTGAGAGACGATGTAAAATACGTGTTTGTAACATGAATGATATTTAATTTACAAAATCCTCGAGATGCTCTGATGGAAGCAGGAAGCAGCTGTGGCGGCTGATTGAAACCTGTCGTCATGACTTCATTATGTCGTCGTTATCTGGACTGTGTCACAGAAATCACTGAGTTTGTTATCTGGAGATAATGAGACAGAAACATTTTGATATGAGTCAATACTTTCTCATCACAATTAAGTATATAGACGACGACGTAATCAAACCAAACACAGACACTTTGTGTTTTATCTTGACATGATGAAGTCTTGATCAGGGGCGCAAAGTTCTGGGAATATTCAAGGTGGAAACTTTCCATGGGAATTAATGAAGTGTAAATATTTATATAATATTTCCTCAGGCTGTTTTCACCACGTCTCATGTAGATAGAAACAAACCTTTGACCATCACAAGCAGACATGACTTTAAAACAGGAATGAAAAAATCAGCTTTATAGCTTCTTTGCAGATGACATCACACATTAGTGTCCAGACTGAGGCAAAGACTGAACCCTGCATTAATGCCTTTGGTTTTTTATTTTATTTTTATTTATTCTTTTACAGCTGTTTCATTTTGTCAAATTAGGGAAAAACAACCTGATTTTTAGATGTGAATCAAAAACCTTCATCTTCAGTCCAGAGGAGCAGAGTCAACTAATGTCAAACGTCAAATACGTCTCGCATTGGACGCAATCACAATGTGCTGTGACGGCTTGTTTTTAGACACACTTTAGACTTAACAGCGTTTCACCAAACTTCTGTAAACGATTGATCCAGTAGGTAGAAAATAGTAGCTAAAGTAAGCTAATGTTGGCTAGTAACGTTAGCCTGACAGCAGTGAATCCATTTACAGATTTGAAAAAATGGTGAAGCAAAACATAGAAGCTCACGTTGACATATTAATACAGTTATTATTATCATTAGTAAAATGTTCGAAAAATGTTAATGAAATGTCCAAAAAATATTATTAAATTTTCAGAAAAAAATGTTATTGAAATTTCCGAAAAATGTTAACAAATGATCGAAAAAATGTTGACAAAATATCGGAAAAAATATTTAATAATATGTCTGCCAAAATGTTGATAAATGTCTGAAAAGTGTGATTAAAATGACCGAATGAATTATTAATTTTGTTATTTTTTTTCTGTTAATTTATCTTCAGTCTAACTTGTCTCAAACTGTAAGAATCACAGGAGTTACAGTTAAATGATCAGACTTTAAACCAAAGTAATCATTCAGACCTAGTTTTGCTTTTTATGTGTTTTTACCCCCAAATAAATTCACTATTAAAAGGTCTGATTTTTATATTTAAATTGTGCAGAATTCCCAGAGTTTAACTTCCTGTGGAAATGTTCCAGACACGCAGCGACCCTCTGCAGCCGTAGAGTCGATGTTTACGGGTGTGAAACGCCGTCAGCAGCCACAGCTCCTCTTCGCTTCCGTTCTGTCTCATTTTGTGTATTTTCTTTGTCGTCTGTCTAACTCGGTTTGTGAAGGATTTCTCCCCGTGAACATTTCCCTGCAGAGATGATTTCATCGGCCTGCTGGTGGCGCTGTTGCAACTGTTTTCAGTTCATCTGAGTGTGTTTTCTAAAGCCCAGTGGATCTGTGTCAAAGTGAGGTTGAACTTGGTTTGTATACTTGTTCTCCACAGTTCTCTCCAGACGCACACGTTTAAGTTAGTCCACCTTAAATCTGCTCATCAGGCCGACAGCTCTCTGAATACCTGGTGTAAAACCTGGAGGTGTAACGCCGCCGCAGACAGCTCATAGAAACAGCTTTATTATCAACACATGAAGAAGAAGAAGAAGAAGAAGAAGAAGAAGTCATCCTTCACGCTGCTGCGGGCTGACGCACTGACTGACTGTAGATTTGTACAGATATGAAGATGTTTGCTGGTTTCCTTCCTGTCTGATGTCCTCGGAGCTTTAGTGTGTTTGAGCGCCCCCTGCTGTAGACCCGGATGCTAACCTCTGTGTTAGGTTTGTTAACACTAATTGGACGTGCAAATAAAAAGAACAAGTTAGCCCTGAACACCTCGTCTGACGCCTCCTTTGTTTAACATGTTATTATTAATGTGATGTTCTTCTTCTGTCTTTGTCTCCTCCGTCTGTCGGGACAATGAAAAATATTGTTAATTCACTACACACATTTATGTTAACTAATTAAATTACATTGAAATGAGTCTTGGTGCCTGCATAAATGTGTCATTCTTCAGCCATCCGGATTTGAAAAATAAGACAAACACATCAAAGGAACATACAAAATAAATGAAAGATCAGTCATTAATATTATTATATTAAAAATGGCCTTTTATTTGTGGCTTTTGCTTCATTTCCTTCGTACCTGACTCAGAGTTTAAACATTCAGCACTGATTATTATAAATGTCATTGTGATGTCATAATAGCTTCAAATACAAATGACACAAAATCCCATTTTAATGAAATGTGTCATGTATCGTGAGATAAATTTGTATTTTATGTCTTTTGTTTTCATAAAATAACCGCTGTCCCCTGGGGTCACGTCCACCACACTGTAATTCAGGGAGTTTATCTCTGCACCAGCGACAGCCGTGGCTCGAGGCCTGATGTCTTCCAGTTGTCTGTCATTTTTGTGAATGTGATCAAAAGAAAAGAAAAATATTTGTGGTTTCAGTGGAAAAAAAAAAACGAAGCCACCCTCCTCTGATGAGTAGAGAACAGTCTCTAACTCAGATTATAATCTAATGTTGATTCTCCTGCTGAAATTTTAATAATAATCTTGGGTAGCTGTAGCGATTTTAGCCCTGCCCCCGAAAACATTTTTCCCGCCTCCGAAAGCACTAAACTTTAGTTCACCTGGAGTGACGTCAGAGCCACACGCACCCGTCCAGCTCACTGTGTGACTGAGTGGATTGTTGGTTCTAATGAAGAAAATAAGACGTAAAATGAATAACGGAGAGTTTCCTGTTCTCTGTGGATTTAACCTGAGTGTGATGAAGATGGAGGAAGACTGTGGAGCTGAGTTTATTCTTCAAACATGGAGGCTGACAGGTGAGTCTCAGGTTAACATGATTAACCCGGTGTTTGTTCGGTTGGCAGGTGTTTCAGGTGAGTTTAATCAGTCAGGAGATTAAGAACTTGTACTTCACTTAAGTGTTTCCATTACTTTACACTCACCAGCCACTTTATTAGGTACACCTGTTCAACTGCTCATTAACACAAATATCTAATCAGCCAATCAGGTGTCAGCAGCTCATTAACATTTAGTCATGTAGACATGGTGAAGACGAGCTGCTGAAGTTCAAACGGAGCATCAGAATGATGAAGAAAGGTGATTGAAGTGACTTTGAACGTGGCGTGGTTGTTGGTGCCAGACGGGCTGCTCTGAGTATTTACTGGGATTTTCAGCACAACCATTTCTAGGGTTTACAGAGGATGGTCCCAAAAAGAGCAAATATCCAGTGAGCCAAAATGCCTTGTTGATGCCAGAGGTCAGAGGAGAATGGCCAGACTGGTTCAAGATGATAGAAAGGCAACAGGAAGTCAAATAAGCACTGGTTCCAACCAAGGTGTGCAGAAGAGCATCTCTGAAGCAACAACACCTTGTCCAACCTTGAAGCAGATGGGCTACAGCAGCAGAAGACCACACCAGGTGCCACTCCTGTCAGCTAACAACAGGAAACTGAGGCTACAATTCACCAAAACTGGACAATAGAAGATTGGAAAAACCACATTCAGATGGAAGCATGGATCCATCCTGCCTTGTATCAACGCTTCAGGCTGCTGCTGCTGGTGGTGTAATGGTGTGGGGGAGATTTTCTTAGTACCAACTGAGCATGGTTTAAACACCACAGCCTACCTGAGTATTGTTGCTGAGCGTGTCCATCCCTTTATGACCACAGTGTACCCATCTTCTGATGGCTACTTCCAGCAGGATAACGCACCATGTCACAAAGCTCACATCATCTCAAACATGACAATGATTTCACTGTACTCCAATGGCCTCCACAGTCACCAGATCTCAGTCCAATAGAGCACCTTTGGGATGTGCTGGAACGGGAGATTCTCATCATGGATGTGCAGCTGACAAATCTGTGATGCAATCATACATACATATACATATATACACACATATATATACACCAAACAGCCAAACCATTCAAACCACTGACAGGTGAAGTGAGTAACTTACTGTCACTGTCACTAACTGATTATTTTGTTCCAATGCATTGTTCTGCTGGGAAACCTTTGGTTCTGGCCTTCATGTGGAGACCACCTGACCTGTTCCACCCACTCACACACAGTTGCAGACCAAGTACCCTCCTCAGTGGCAGTGGCCCCCCAGCAGGATAATGCACCATGCCACACTGCAAACATGGCTCAGGAATGTGTCAAAGTCCTCAAAGTGTCAACCAGGCCTCCAAATTCCCCAGATCCCAATCCTGAATGAGCATCTGTGGCACGTGCCATTAACCCACCTCACAACCCACTTGTGACTGGATAGATGTGACAGTGGAGATTAACATGGTGGAAAAGGTCACGTTCTCTGTACACCTAAAGACGGACATCTTCATACAACTCTGGAAAAAATGTGAAACCTTTGAGACCTGACTTTGTTTAGATAATTACTTAAAGCTATAGTGCGTAACTTCTACGTGTCCGTAAATGTCCGTTTCACCCAAGCCACTACTAGAGGAGATGACACAATGCTGATTAAGCCGATTGGCTCCTCTAACATCTCGCTGTATTTTTCAGTATATATCATTTTTAGTTTGCGTGTAGCCCGGCGACATTCCCGCGCTGGCGCACAGGAAATGCTTCCTCACAACAAGAAGGGAGGGGGAAGAAGAGCGGAGAGTGTCATAGCAAGAGGTAGAGCGCAGGNGCGCACAGGAAATGCTTCCTCACAACAAGAAGGGAGGGGGAAGAAGAGCGGAGAGTGTCATAGCAAGAGGTAGAGCGCAGGTAGAAAGAGAAAGCAGCATGGCGGAAAAGTGGCCGGGACACGGTTCAGAAGTGGATCCTACCACAAAGAAAAAGCCTGGACGTTTGGCTGAAGGTCTGTTAGCAAAGAAGGAAAGTGACCGACGGAGAAGGCAAACAAGGATTTGTATTGGCGTCGCTTTTCCTCGCTGGAGAGCCCTGAAGGAAGAAACTGGGCTGAGGGCAGACACGGATGACTTGGTTTATAATTATACTGTGAGTAGTATGTGTTGCTGTTACATGTACTGGACCTAGTACTTTATTATTTCTTGGAAATGGTGCTATGAACGTAATGTAATGTTAGCAGCCTGGTGTTCGCCACGTTGTGTAGCATTGTGTACACGGTGTGAAGTGAGTGTTACTCTGTGTACGGTGTGTGGCGACTGGTGTTACCCTGTGTACAGAGTGTTACTCTGTGTACATGGAAGTGCCGGCTTATTTGTTGTAATAACGCTTTATCCACTGAGAGGTGACAGAAGTTATGCACTATAGCTTTAAAGGAACATCCTTAACTTTTTATTAATTGTTTTCTCTTTTTCCCGACCGTGTTCTCTTCTGTGTCCAGATATTTCACCTTAATGTGCAGTTTGTGAAGCCTAAGTGTTACAAGCATTATATAAACTTTATTTATCTCTATGTCTCTGTGTTTGTGTCGACTTCTGTCACAGCCATCCTTTGGAAATGGACAGAAATAGAACATGAGTCACAACAAATGAATATAAAGTTGAGAGGTTTTATTTGAAATACAAGATTTTTTTTTGCAACCTCCCCTTTTTATATGTGGGTGTACGTTTTTTTAAGTTTTTTTTTTACGTTTATTTTGCACTAACAAAGGATATATCAACACTGCATTTCAAAAATAAAAAGACACAGGAGACAGAGCTGAGGACATGTGGCTGAACGCCTGGGAAACAGTCGACCTGCACTAACTCCTGAACCTGGCGAGACTTCTGCTCGTAGGTCGAAGCTCAAACTCAAAGTACTTTGGTGACGTTTTAATTCTGTTTGACACAAGTAAGGTTGATGCTGAAGAGACAAAAATCAGCACACAATTAACGTGATGAAAACAATAAATAACATGTTCATGTTTGGAGCTGAATCACATTGTGATCGATGAGTTAACGCTGACAGCAGGTTATTATTCCTTTACACAGAGATTTAAATACTCCAGCAGACGTGTTTATTCTGACAAGAATTTATTTTACAAGACAATCACAGAGTCTTTCTACTGACCAGACTCTAAACACATCACAGACTGAGTTTCTGTCTCAATACAACTTTCAGTTGTCCAAACACAGCGACCTCCATCAGCTGAAAGACTTTACTTTAAAACAGAGTGATAAAAAGGACACACACACACACACACACACACACACACACAGCATGAAATTAAAAAGAAGAGAGACTCAATGCAAATATACAGTACACTGTGTGTGTGTGTGTGTGTGTGTGTGTGTGACTGATGGAAAAGGATATGACATAAACAGAAAGACGTGACGTGTTACTTCATGGTTGTTGTGCTGTTGGTCACATCACCATCATCTCACACACCCAGTAGTGTTGGTCTGCACAGTCAGCAGGGATAAACCTCAGCCTGTCAGGCAGCAACTGTTCGGCATAGGCACAGGTGAAACTTGGATCACCTGGCTGCATCTTCTTCAAGTCACTACAAAACACATGTCACAAAAATTAGAGATGACGTGGTTGTTTTACAGACATGAGGTTGTTTTCTCTACATTTTATTGTTTGTTGTTATTGTTTATTTATTGTTGTTGTTGTTGTTGTTGTGTATCCATCATTTACAGCAGACTTTATTCTTGTTATTTAACTTTGTCGTCTTTTTACTGTTTTATTTTTATTTGTTTTGATGCACTGAATGTGAACTCAGGGCGTCGCTGTGAAAGAGCTTAATGCTCAGTCAGTTTTCCCTGAATAAACAATGGTTTGATGATGATGATGATGATGATGATGATGATGATGGTGATGACGAAAATGGGACGTCACGGTGGCTCCGCACTTATTCCTGTTACAGATTTAAAGAGGCAACAGACAGCATCTTTTCCTAAATATATCATGATGAAAATAATGTGGGTTGCACAGGGTAGTGGCCACAGTCAAATCAGACTATCAGCGTTTACATAGGTTACTTAGTGGCTTTGCAATCTTTGCAATAAGCTTCTGCCACCGGTGCCGAAATTTCGTGGAAAAAATCTGCTTTACGGCAGGAAATGCGTCATGTATTGCCAAACTGGTCGGTCAGCCAATCAGGGACTGGAGCTGGTCCTTATGAGGAGTTGGGCATGAGATAGTTGAGTCACGAGCACAATGGCAGACGGACAAAGTTTGGAGACAAGTGAAAAACGGCCTAGCAAAAGAAAAGGAGCTCCTCTGTGTGAGGAGGCAAAGAAGAGCAAAAAGGAGAGTGATAAAAGAAGAGGAAAAACAAGAGTAAACCTCAGTCAGGCGTTCAAGAGATGGAGGGAGCTCCGTGACCAAAGAGGCTTCAAAACCCATGTCCAGCTAGCTTTCTTTCTAATGGATCAGTAAGTAACACGGCTAAATGTTAGCTAGACCAGAGAGGACTGTACTGTACTGGCTGCTAGTTCATTCCTAGCTGGCCAGC